TGTCACTGTGACATGGGCGTGATGCACCCCCCTGCCCAGCTCCACTCACCACAGCCCCACCCAGCGCCCCTCTGCCCAGTGCCCTTTGGAGGAAGGGCCTTGAGGTGCTGGCCCTGGGGCAGTCCCTGTGCCTAGGAGGCCCAGGGGTCTCTCCCTGCCCTTGCTGCCCACGCACTGGGCACCGCTGCTGGGCATCCCTGTAAATTCATCTGGACATCCAGACTGTATACTGGATGTGGGGATGCCAGAGATGAAAGAAAGGCTTTGGTTCCCTATGCATGAACTTTGCAGAGACAAAGAGAGCCTGCAGGATTCCCTCACCATTCCCTACCGATGCACCGATGGACATTTGCTACTACTCTGCTTATGGCGATGTCTTTTTTGTGGAAAGAAGTCCTGAATTGTTTTGTGTTCTTGATCATCTTCTTCCTTGTACTTCAAGAGTTCTTTTCTTCCTTTGGCCTTCATCCTTGATATCTTTCAAGAATGTGATAGCAGCTCTCCTGGCCTTTGACTTGTTCCTTCTAGTTGCCTTCTTCTGTAGACAAGACAATGCCCTTATTAACATGCTCAAACTTTTGGTCAGCCCTGAAGTGGTCTGGTAGATGGACTAGGTTAGAGTTCATGGTCCCTTCCCGATGAACTATTCTCTTCTGTTCTACCATACTGAGCACTGATTACACTGTGAGTCTATTTTTTTTCCATTTGCTGTAATAGTTATAGGCATGTGGCAAACACATCAGTGATATATTAAGAGTTCTCATAAAAAGCACACCTCTGCTTTTACACTAAACAGTCTGCACTTGGAAAAAAAAAAAGGCTGACAGACCTTAAAAAAGTGAGTAACAAAATTTCTGAGACAGTGCCATATCCAGAATTTGAGAGTAGAAGGTTACCAACATATCTGACACAGAAGCAGCTTCATACATGTTGATGGTATTTTATTTATGACTTCTGAGTCTTAAAAGCAATTAGATACACGGTAAATGGCTGCATGGCAAAATCCTCTTGAAGTCATGCTGCTCTCTAAGCAAAAGTAAAATCATTACCTCCTTATTGGAAACACGGAAATGGAGCACAAAATCGTCACAACTGATTTCATCTGCCTATAATTTAAAAAGTAATGATTCCATGCGAAGCTACAATGAATTAGCTTTTTTTTTTTGGTCCAACTCAAAACCTTACATTTCTAAACCCATGGTCCCTCTTCATCATCTTAGAGAGAGAGCTAACAAGTTCGATTAAAACCAAACTCAAACCAATATATTGTGATTCAAGGAAAAGATTTTATTTTAGGGCTAACAAGTTGATAATAAATAAAGGAATATAATAATGTAATAACAGATGTTCTCATGCACTTAACACATACAATAATGCTGGCTTACACTGCTGTTTGGACAAATTGAGAAGAGGTATTTGGCAATATTATAAGTCTGAATAGCTTAAAGATAATAGAACAAGAAATTCTTTCAGCTGTTTTTACATTTTTTTTTATACAAATTCAAATAAATATTAATACATCTATTTTTCCTTAGATTTTCTGTTCACTTTTAACATGCCCAATAACTAACCTGCAGTAATATGCAACTGCTGATAAAGTATTTATGAATTACAGTTGTTAATATTACTAAAAATGTATCATTTTTATGTCATATTGTGCAAGCTTTTTAGGCAAAATTAGGTCTTAGGAAAAACCACAGGAAATTTAAACTCATTAAAACATATCCAGTGCAAAGGCCAGTCTAGTCCACACATTATGGTACTGTAATGTAAGCCAGTGTAACTTATATAATAAAACATGCCTGTATGATTCAGAGAAAGCTGAGTATGGTTTATGTTTTAAAGATCTGATGTCTAATATGCAGATTATGCAGTATCAGACATTTTTCAAATCTTCAGGAGATGGCAAAACAATGTTAAAGACTTCATAAGAAGGGTTTCTTTTTTTTTTTAGGATAACTCACATTAACAGTACTACAGTGGCCAAAAAAGACAAATTATTATAATAGAAATCAATCTGATTAAAAAATTAAATATTCCAATTAACACTGAAAAAGTGTTTGTAATCATTATTTACAATTCATCAATGATACCAGTGTATAACTCCACACAGTCAAAGTACACCACTTCCCAAGCGAAGACCAATTCTCGTATCCTCATTCACGCATTCGGTCGGAGTATGTCATTTAAGCACAACGCATCAGTTTAACGAAGGAGATCGATCTGTGGTCCAGAGTAATTCTATGTATGGCCATTTGGTTTGCAAGCAGCGTTTTACAGGGGTGTCGTCCGTCTGTAACATTGGTTCTTCAAATCCCATAACAACTGCTGTGCCTTCTACGTACATGACCTGCCAAAATAAAACCAATTATGTCAGCCTACATGTGTTTAAAATCTGTAAGATTATTTTCGCCAGGTTATGATTTTTTGTGATACTTTTTTTTTACTGTAAAAATCAAGTCTATGAAGCTTACATACTTTTACTTTTTTAAAAACTGAAATACAGTATGAAGTTGGAAAAAATCTAGACTCAAGTGCCTGAAAATCCTGATTAGGCCATACTCATTTGACTGTTTACTTCAGTAGACAGTAAAAGGCCAAAACTGGGAGAAAAAATAATCTAGGAAATGGAGCGCAAAAATTCTGTGATAATAGATCTACTAGGGTTGCAATTGCGAAGTTTGATATTGTTATAAGGATGGTGTTCCTTAGACTTTATGGAAGTTTCATGAAATGGAACTTCTGTTGCAAATCAACTTTATTCGTATAACAACATTTAAAATGCTATAGGCAGAATTCTTTGAAAACAAAACTCTCTTTAAATTTTCTTGATTATGTATATATGTTCAATAGTAAAGATAAATGCATCTTTGAATACTTTTGCCTACATTTTGGAGTATGAAACTGCTGGAGATTTCACAGGGGTAAATTTAAGGGTTTAACTCCAAGATATTTCAAAGACATTTTCTCAGAATCTTCTTGAAGTCATTTTTGTTCCTCATGTCTATTAATGCCTTACAAGCTTCTACCCTAAATGCTACCTGAGGAACTAATGTAGAAGCAGTCACAGTGTGTCATGTATACCCCTCCTTCCAAGAAAGCTGAAACAGGTAATTTTTGTGCCCAACTAAGTGGTTCCAAAAAATACTGCTTTTTGATGTGAGTCTGGACTACTAAAAGATTTCATGAAAAAATCCAAACACATCAATTTCAACGTAGAGTTGCTTACAGAAGTTGCAGTCTGTCTTGTTTCATCTCCATTGTCCTTTACAGTTCAGCTCCCACTTCTCATGGATAAATACGAGAAGTGCTCTATACCAAAAGCATCGCTTACGAGATGAGGTCTAGCTAATCAATCCAGTATACTAGCTAAGACACAATAATCAGGAGCGCAAAGAAGTTTCCAATTCCAAGTATATAATTTTGGAAGAAACTTACTCAAATAGTAATTATGTAAAAAGTCTGTTTCAAGTTAAATTATTTTGGTGGCAACTATAGTCAGTTTTGCATGCAGGGCTAAACTTAAGCTTCTTCAATCTCACCTTTTCATTGTAGTTAGATTGCTTAAGTCCGTTGTAATGGTAAACAGTGAACGACTCAGAAACCCTCGAGTCCTAGCAAAAAGAAGATAGTTAATCTCATGTGACACACACGGAAACTGTAAAAAAGTACTTCTTCTAAGTGACATAATTTTGAAGATTTTGTTAATTTTAAGTTTCTCATCTCATCTGTTATTTCTCAAGATAAATAATAAAAATATGCCAGTGAATTAATGGGTAATGCCCCCAAGAGCAAATAATGACTTTATGGGTTCATCTGGACACTTTGAACTAGAACTTCAGCACTGACCATGTAGAAACAGTCCTAAAGTCTTCAGTCAGACACCTTATGTTGTAACCACATTTGTGTGTATTTCTGACTCTTTGGATACTACAAGTCAAATATTTACTAAGGCCCAGATCCAAACTTTAACCCTCCATTTGAGAGCTAAAACATAATTTACTTATGCCCACACCTGCCCAACTGTAAACTAATTGTGAAGACACCTGTTCGGCTGAGGTCTAATAGCAGATGTACTTGCAGTTGTCAACCTTTACCATTCCAGGTGTTTAACTGCTTTAGTACTAAAAGGACTGAAAGGCTTTGAATTTCACTGAATCAGGAAACACAAATCAGGTGTAATATCATCTCTTTTATGCCTACTGGACCAGGCTCCAAACAAAAGCTTATCCTTTTTTCAAGTACATGGAGCCTTAGCTGGAATGAGAAGAGATCTGCTCAGGTTACAGTACATCCCGTCAGATTAGAAAAAGCACTTTTCTCCTCTTAAATTGATTCAAAACCTTATCTGTGCCCAGGTCTCTCACAGCAACCAGGCTATTCAGTGGAGGGAGGGTGGTGAAAAGGAAGGTAAATGGTAACTCTACTTACAGAAGTTGCTTCACAGAGATAAATAAATTCAAGCTTTGCTGGGAATGAAAGAGGATGCTTATTCTTTTCCCTGAGAATACTGATTTCCAGTTCCTGTCCCCTAGTTGTTAAGAATTTTGTGCAATAACTGTTTCCCAAAGAAAGGGCTACAGGGGAATTCAGGAATCCCTCTCTCCAGCTGACTGCCCTAAGCACTATATAGTTAGACTTGCTCTTTCAGGCTGAATGATCTTTGAATAATTTTCTTCTAAGCCAACGATTTCAAAAGAAAAGCTTAGATCCCTTCCTGCTTTTGAGGTACTTTCTAGGAGAGTAAGAATGTGGTTTGGAATATTTACAGTAAAGAAGAATTTGAATCCGGATCTCCTGAGCACTACCTAAGTGTTCAAATATTGCATAAAGGGGAACATGAACAATTCCAACCATCACCGGCACGTGTTATTTCCTCACAGTATTTTAAAGACATGTATCTTCATTACTGCAGATTTTTATGTTCAGAAAGTATTCTAAACGAGGTGTTGATATGAGTAAGGGCTGCTGCTATCTGATTCACAGAGCATAGACAGATTGGACAACACACCTGTGCCTTCTGCATTCATTCAGTAACTGAAACTGGCAGGTCCCAGCCCAAAATGTGCTGATTGTTCAAAGCTGTACCACTTTCCACATTTTGTACTGGAGCAACAAAAGGTTCAAAAGCACAGGCAAAACTGAGTGGTGGGGAATGGTGTGCAGCAGAGAATTAGTACTTGCTGGACAGGCGCTGACTAAGGGGTTCCAACTTTACAGCAGGTAAAGAGTTCCCCCACCAACTCTCTAGGTGACTAAGGAGGAGATCTGTCCATGACTCCACCACGCTCCCTTCTCCAGCTGCCCTTCTTCAGTCAGTGATGCCCTTCGGCAACAGGCATCAGAAGCATCAGCCCCATACAATGGCTGTTTTCCCCTCCAGCTACCTCTGGCCTGCAGAACTGGACAGTTTAGGCACAGCCAGCTATGAAGGATGTGCTTTGGCTGTCTGAACTTCATTCCAAGCATCTGGGGTCTGAAGTTAAGCAGTGGAGCCTTCCAGATTTGCAAGTGTAATATAATTGTAAGAAATAAGATTAAATTATATTCAATTGTAAAGACATTTCCACTTCTGGATACACAAACAAGGGAAGAAGAAACAGTTGGCAAATACACTATGCAGATGTGATTCTGTAGATCCAGCGAAAATGAACACTCTAACTCCTTTTCCTCTAGATGATGAATCATCTCTTAATGATGTATTCAGTCCCTACCATCTTTGGCCGTGCAGTTCTAATGTTTTCTGAACAACGAGATTGATTCATAGTACAGAACACTACATCCAACAGTGCTGCGCAACCCTTAACAAAAAGAGTCTTGCTGAAGGCATTCTAAAATTATTACTTTCACATTTCCTTGGTTGTAAAAATTAAGCCACAGAGTTTCAATGACATGTTAAGCTATAAAAGTCTCCCAAAAGTACTCGTTTCAGCCCTTGTCTTGCCTCCACCAGCCTATCTTTCTGTCCCCAGGGAAACACTCTCTCTTCTGCCAATACAAGCATCTGCATGGCCATGGGACAAGCTTCCATAAACCTGCAAAGAGAGCTTTCATCTGCACCAGCTCCCTGGTTTACCACATACTTGTACAGAGAGGTTCCTGGTGGCAGGAGAGAAGTAGCATGAAGGGAGGAAAACCTCACACAGGGCAAAGGGAGAAGAGCACAGCAGTGCCAGGTTAACACACGTGTCTCGGTGGTGGCGCTTTTTAAATGAATTTATGGAACAGATTGAGAGTTAGAAAATAATTTTCTATCAGACATACTGTCTTCCACATATGCTAAATGTAATTCTATAATGATGTTTTGTTAAGCTGTCAAAAAGTTTACATTATTAGAATTATTAATAAAAATAATTCTAAATATGTTTGTAGCCTCTTTCCATTTGCTAGCAATTATAGCAGACATCTGTAATATTGATAAAAATCTGACCATTTATTCTCAGAAAAGAAAACTCTGATGAACTTTCTGAACTGGGAACCAGTTCAATTTCATATGCAAGATCATTATATATCTCCTGAAGTGAATTTCAGAACTTGTTGCTACAATGGAGTTTCCTCCCAGCATAAAGCTGATGGTATCGTGGACACCTTATGCAAAATGTAAGTCTACAGACTGTCGTCTAACACAAGAAGTTATTTGCTGGTCAGATGTATTGAATGCAATACTTACTACTAAAAATAGCTCCGTGATATTAACAAAAGTGTTTAATGAATCTCAAAGACAAGCAGAACAGACAATACTCTTCAGCAGTAAAACTAGATTGATTACCTGCTCAGGGAAAAATTCTTGCAGAAAGGGACCCAGCAATATGATGCCCAGTCCTTCTGGGTCTAATTTGGTCTTCATGAGGTTTACACTATGACAAAAATATTGAATAAAAAAGTGTGAGTAAGACATTTTTATTTGTGCATGACTAAGTTATGCTGTGCTACCACAGTACTGGCTGCCAAGTATAGCAATACTGTTCTATTTTTAATCCTAAGTGACAACTGCACCAGAATGGCATGCAAGTTGCCAAAACATGGTTATTTTTAAATAAAAGTAATCTGTTGTTTTAAATTAAATTAAGTGATAATTCTGAAGGACCACCATATTTGGTAAAATAACTTGAAAACCTTGTAACGTAAACCCAAGTTTATGGCCCGAAACGCATTTTGCTGTCTTGTAAGCATTCTTGAACTTAGATACACAAAACAGTCATCTTTTAAATGCGGCTCTGTAACTGCCAAGCAACCTGTTTTCAAATGGGGATTTGAAAAGCCTCCAAGATTTTCTAAGTACACTAAAATAAATTAACAGATACATTTCTTGTTTACGTCATATCCTTGATATCAAAGAAGCTAAACCCAATAAGTAATGGAGATACTAACAGTACTAATCTGAAAGCCTTTTGCATGGATATGGTGTAATTTCAGGTCACTACAAATGAATGTCAGTTACAACTTTCTATTTCTAGTTAAGTCATATATTTCCACAGGCATCGCTTAAACACCTATTTGCATCTACCTATCCTTTTGCCTAAGTCACAAGTTGTCCTGTACACACGAATACCCTTGCTGGGTCAAAGTAATGGAGCGCGTTGCCCAGTATCCTGTTTCTGACATGGTCAGTAGTGGATGCCTACAAGAGAGTCCAACAGGGCAGACATACAGCGATATCCTTAGTTTACCCTGCCCATTTTCAACAGTCTGCTGCTTAAAGACATCTTCAGTGAGAGACAGCATCTAAAACACAAAGATATATATTTTTTCTTTCCATGCATGTGCCTAATTGGCTTTGAACCCATATACACTTGTGACATTTAATAAACTCCACTCACAAAATTAAAATTCAGCTATGGATTCTGGGAATAAGTATCTTATGTTTTGAACCTGTCAGCTGTCACAGCTGCCTCATTTACCAACCAGGCTTTTAATCACCTAGGTCTCTTCCGTCCGCATCTGCAGGCAGAAGGTGTCTAAGGTCATTTTGACTATTGTTACATGTAAGCACTTTATCCTTTTGGCTACCACTTACATGTGTTCATTTTTAAGTAGCTTCCTTTCTTGGTCCTAACATAGTGCTAGCAGTAAATTATTTGGCTTCTTTCGGTTTCTGCCTCAATGCACATATATACATACGTTATGTGATTCTTAAGAGAGTAGCTCTTTTAAGGCCCTCGGAAGAACTTTAAAATTCATAAATGAATGCAATATCATATAAACTATGTTTATTTAATATCTGAAAAAATACAGAAATACTACTACACAAGTGAAACTACAACTGCGGGATTGCAAGATACTGGACTTTAATCCTTCTATTCTTACTGCTTTCAAAGTACAAAATTTAAGATATTTCAGAGGCTATTTGAAACCTGCTCCAATTATTGAAATGCTGTAACAGAGTTGTAAAAAACCTGTGTCTGTAAACAGAACCAAGGAAGATTTAAGTAAAGATAATTTTGAAAATGCACTTAAAAGTATGCAATAAAATTAAAGCAAGCTATATACGAAATGCAGAAATTGCTTAAAAATGCAGAGCCATACCAAGTTGTTAAGTATGGACAGTGTACAAAATTAAACCAATTAAGCAGGAGGGAAGATTTCATAAAATCTGACTGCCGTATATTTCAACTGAGGCTTTTTTCACCCAACGAATAGCTAACACTGTTCAGTGGTATGGATATTACAGCAGAGGTACCAAAATGAGCGTGTGTACATGCTTCAGTCGCTTCAGCACGACATCTAGTGTCTTAATGGAAGGGGTTGTGAGTGTTGGGGTGATGACACTGATACCTTCTGTACGTTATTTACTCAAAAGTGTGTGGGGACTAAAGCCTCCAGCACTGGTCAAATAGACAGATAAAATGTTTTAAAACTAGTTAAACCCAGATTGACAGAATCGCCCTAAAGAGTATCAGATGGTTTTTAGAACCAAACAGACAAAACAAACAAGAGAGATGGGTTCTCACATGTATTTACTAAAAGACTAGAAAATTTTAGGGAAAATGCAATGGCATTCAGTACTGAAATGGCTAATCCACCTTGTTAATTCATCACTGCTCTATGAAGTTTCTCCCCTCTATAATTCTTAAAACTCTTAAGCAGGTCTGACCGTTATTCATCTTGAAATTATGAGACGCTTAAAGCCTTGGACTACATCATTGCTAAAAAAATGTAAATAGCACACTTGGAAACAATGCCTTTAATTCTACTTAAAAACAAATAAACAAAAAACAACCAGAAAAGCCTGTATGCTATTTGAGATGTGTCGTCTATACTTGTGTTCCATATTAAACAGACAGAACATCTAGAACCAAAACAGAGTAGGTCCTGAAGACATTAGTATCAAACAACATTTTTTTTCAAGACTGAATATTCCACAGTTTGATCTTGGCTTTTCAACACAGCAGGCCTTCTGACTGGCTCTTCCTACATCAATTTATATTCAATGTGCTATGCACAATAAAATATGGCAGGGCTATGCCACAAACTCTGAAAGCCAAACAGCCAAATGGAAAAACTGCTGAATGCAGAAAGAAGACTTTTGCACATTTTTTTACTGAGGCAGCAGAACAAAAAGGCCAAAAGAAAGCTTCTCAACCTATTAAACTAGAGCTTTTTTCTTCCTCTGCCTTAAAAAAAAAAATCTTTTGCAGATTTCCTGCTTATTGACATAACACAAATGCTAGCCTTTTTGTCGTGTATTTCCTTTGGTTTTTAGTTTCCTGGGTGTCTTGATTTCAGTTTTCACTCCTATTCCACAGAGAACAGCTCAGTAAACTTTGTCGTACTTTGTAACATTTGAAATGACAGAAAATGGCATCGATCATATCTCAGATGACTATGGTAAGTAAACTTGCAGTCTACAGGAACAATTTAGACCCCAATAAACTAGACCATATGTTTATGAAAGAGCAGAACCATCTTTTGGAAATGTAAAAAAGTTAAAGCACATAGCTCTCCTTTCTGGGTTAAGCATTTAGTAGCAAAATACGGTAAGCTTTCACATCGAAGGTTAACTGCTGCCACTGACTATTAGTCCTGTCTGTTCACACAACATCTAAAACAAATTACTTTTTTAAAATTGGTAATTTTAACTCTAATCCTAGGAATCAAGGTGTCATTTCTGGAAACAAATGACAATTATAAACACTACGAGGTACTGAGTGTTGGCGGAAATGAAAGTATTACTGAAGTAGCTTCAGCTTCAGACAGATTCAGTGGTAATCTAAAGCTAGTCTGCCCCCAAGTACTTTGGTTGGCTTTTGTCACACAGCCTCACCCTCGTTAGCGTACAGAAATAATTCACCACTGTCTCCTCAATATACAGTAATTCACTAAGTCTAAGTATCTAATGCACTAAGTCCAGGTATCACTACCAAAGCTAAAGGGATTTTAATTTGAATTTCTCCCATCTCATTTAAAGCTGACTTATACATTTCAAAGTAACAGTCTCTGCCTAGAATGCAAGCTGGAAAAAGATCAGAAAAATTCCTAAACTATAATTAATATGTGGTTAATCTATGATTCTGTAGTGTTTGCATTTTATTACACTTACTATTCAGTATCTGAAACAAGGTCCAGAGCCTTCATTACATCTTCTAGCAGAGTGTCAGGTATAAAACCATTATCTGAAAAAGTAGCAAAGCTTCTCATGAGGAAAAGAAACAAAATGCTTTCCAGAAGTAGAAAAGTTCCTTAGAAGTATAAATACCGCATCTCTTTATTTCTAACATTTGTAAACAAATGGTGGGGTTCCAGAAGTAGCACAGTCTTCAAACACTTCTCTCCCACTCAATAAAACCTGAGTGCAATACAGAAACTGCGGGTTTATCATTCATAAACTTGGAAGCTTAATACTTGCAAAGAATTCTATCACTTCACAGCAATCTCCATCCCCACCAGCCATGCTGGATTAATAACCGTACATTTTCCCCTTTTTGATTAGGATTCAACGAGGAGCACAGCCCTTACCCTCAGGGTCGTATGTCTGGAAAACCCTCCTAGCTTGTTCTGAAGGTGCTTCGGGAGCAACAAGGGCCATATCCTTAGTGGGGGAAAAAAGCACAAACAAGCAAAACACTTTCAGAATATTCTTAATTCAGATACAGAATACTAAGAAAATATTTAGTCATATTACATCAGATTTGACTTCAAATTTATGAAAATTTAAATATAACAGAAGCAAAATTAAGATAATTTGGCAATATTGCTGGTAGTGACACAAAATGATCAAGAAATATGTTAAAGATTATCCCACAGACTTCTAGATAAATTTTATGTAAGCCTTTTCATGCAGATATTTTGGCACAAAAACTAACTGGAGACTACAAGGAGAGATTTAGATTTAAAGTATCATTCATTATATCTGAAAACACACATACATGTATCAGTGAAATGTACTGAGTACACTATGCACACATTGAATATACAAAAATTATTTAGATAGAAAGTTTTGAGAGATTGTTTTGAAGTCCATTGCACAGACTGGAAGAACACAAATTTTTTTAGCTGCATGAAAAAGCATAATTTCAACAGCAGCTACTGTAATGCTTTATTTATGACTTTAGTAATCTCAAATACAATCATGCTTTCCAAAATGTACACAGAGGCACATGTCTAATCCTATTAAAAAACTTGCAAAAAATCAAGCTCTCCTTTTACGCCATGAAAATTATCAAAAAAGCAAAATTGAAAGTTATTGATGATAAACGAAAGAGGACATAAAGGGCAAGAAATGCACTATTCAAGACACCCTTTAGTTTAAAAGATATAAAGACTTGTTCAAACACAACATGAAACTGCAAAATAGAGCTCTAAAACCTGCTTGCTAGGAGTACTTAAAATCCTACATTTCCTCCTGCAAATTTACAATCAACTATGTCATTTTTCACATAGAAAGGAAAATGAAAAATTTGCTCAGAGAGAAACACCGCATGTGACAATACCCCCTCTATAGCTTTTTGTCCTGTCAAAGTGAAAAATGTAGCTACCTGCCACACTATGAAAACGAAACATAAAACTCCAGAAAGAGCAACATTACTATGAATAACATTAAACTGTGGGAAACTTGCTTTTGTTCATATTACATTAAGTAGATCCATTTGTTGCAAATCAAAAAGTTACACTGTTTTATAACGTATACATAAACCTTTCTTCTGTTTATTTCTAGTTCAGCTCAACTTTGCTTTCTGAAGATGACCTTGGTTTTCCTGAGAGTGAGAATCACAACATCCTCTTATTACACCTGTATGTGCTAATAGTGAACTGTGCTCTCAACTGTACAAGTCTGCAGTACTTAATTTGAACGAAGCCACAGAAATCAGAAAATGTAGAATTAAAAGATGCATAATGACCTACTGTTCGTTTAAGAGATCGGGAGAACTGCTTCAGGGAAAGAACAGAAGGAAGTCATACATTTGACCAGAATTCCACTCTTATCCAGTTTCTCCTAATAGCTGACTCTGAATCAGTCAAGAATTTTAAATACACACCTAATGGCAACCAGCATATACTTAAAAACTTCTATGAATGAAAGCCAGCTGCTTAGGAAACACCAACAGGGAAAACATGGAACACAACATACACGTAAAAATAACAGGCAACAGTTTTACTTTGAACAGATGAATGCTGAGGCTAATACTGGCCTAAGGTGCAAACAATGCAAGTTACAGAGCTCCCTGCATTTTCGGGTGCAGGAGAGACAAAAATTTGGTATTATACAGGATTATATTAGACAAAAACTTAGGAGACATCTGCCTTGTCTATCAAACCTCTAGACCACCAGCCCATTATATACTTTCACTGCCTAGGGCTACTCCGTTGCCACTCAAGCACAATGCAAACATCTACGTTCTGAAGTAAGGCAGTGCATGGAAGGATCAGGGTTCACTTTGCTGTGATGCATGAAGGGGTATCCACATCTCTAGTGGCAATGAAGTTTGTGTTGAATATCAGTCCTAGAAGCCCACCAGGCAGCAGGAGGGCCAGGTGCTGGAAGTTCTTGTGTCCACGCTGCAGGCGAGGCACTCGGTAAGGCCCACTAGCGCGCAACTTCAAGTGTTGGCTCCACCAGGAGAGAAACAGCTTTCATCACATCCCGAGGACACTTAATTGCACACAGCAGGATTCCAGGTCTAGACGCAACACAAATTTACACCAAAAAGCAGCTCTTCAATATGCTAAATCACTAACATAGAAGGATGTGGTGAATCATGTCTGCTAGAATTCTCCTAGCTCCTGAGACGTGATAGACTTATCAGGACTAAATTACTTCTGGGTCCATCCTACCAGCTCTCGTGCAGCACAAGTGCCACCTTGCACTGGACTGGACGGCAGAGGCCAGCCCTAGGGCAGGTGCAGGCTTGTTGCAGATGAACTCCTGTCCTGTGCGACTTCTCTGATCATCCTGCACCCAAGAGCTCCAAGTGAGAAAGCGCGCAGAAGCAATCAACTTGGGAGAAGTCCCTTTGTCCTTCTAGCCTTTCCTTGTGTGAAAAATTTGTAAATTGCTTACTTAATATACTGGAAATATAACTAGATTTTTATATTAATTCAGTATTATAATAATGCAATTTTAAGGAACCATATGTATGACTAACTTGGAACAAAGCCACTAGTTAATGAAAAATATTCTAGTGATTTTATAAATGAATAACGAGAACACTTAGAGAAAATCAGTACTTTAATAATGTATCTTCATGCTTGCATATGTTCCAAACCTTTCTAAAAGTACTTTGCAGATAAAGACACTGTACTACTTTAATAATACCTACAGCTCAACACAGTCAGTTTCACATTGCCAAACCATGTATGAAATTGTGCAGTTGTTGAGTTGTACAGTCTGCTGTAACGGTAACATTCGTATGATTACATCAGATACATACACACACTATAAAATTTGATAACATGTGACCAACTTCAAATGATTTGGCATACTCCAGAACTGGACTAAGTTTCATTTTGGGGTCAGTATTACAAAACATACTAAGGAGGAGTAGATTTCACTATCAATGATTTCAGTAAACTACTGCAATTAGTCCTCAGTTTAAAACGGATGATGCTGTAAACATATAGAGCTTATTAACAACAAAATGATCTGTGACTTCAATATTCAGTATTCAACTCTAAAGAGGGAACATTTTCATGGTAGGTTCTTATTAACAAACTAGCAGCTCATGGAACCAGTGTAACCAGGGGGAACTCTTAAAATGGTTAAGGAAGGGTATAACCAAAATAACTTTCAACAGCACAGACATACTATTTCAAATGCAAACTACATAGTTCTACTCTGGTTTACAAGTATGCAGTTCTTTCTGTAAAATCTTAATGTAATCCCAGAATAAAGACTATAATTTGTGTTGTCCTCCCTCCTCCCAAATTATCTTGTTAATGTAATACCTTCCAAAGTTTCATGCTACACAAAGCAGTTTTTTTTTTAAAAAAAGTCTCTCGCACCTACCAATATTTTTTTTTTGATAGTCCAACAGCAAACAGTGTGTACTTCTGTCAGCATTGTAATTTTTCAAGTCCTTAGCTATTTCAGTGCATGTGTACGTGAGGAGACCTTCAGGTGACTGAATGCATTACTTAACACTGAAAATTCTCCAACATTTTAGTCCTTCAACTAAAATTTTAAATATGGTAAAACCTCCCAATTATTATGTATCAATGCTTTCTATTCATTAACTGTGATTTACTGATGCTCTAAGCAAGTTATTCCAGTAAGAAATTTAGAAAAGTTACCTGCTTTGGAGAGACAACAAAAAACTCACCCTCTCTTACCTTCCAAACAACTGTAACTTTTCACTTAAGACGTTGTTCTACAAACAGCTAAAAAGGCAAGATTTTAATCCTGTATATACAAATCCCATGCATCCTCTAACTTAGCTTGTCATTCATTTCCAGTGTCCAGAAAACTAAAAGTTCAACTGGTCCACTTATTTGTAGCTAGGGAAAAAAAAAGTAACATATCTTCTTCAGGCAGCAAAGCTGAAAATGTGACAAACATCTAACAAAAACATACTTCAGCTGCCCAAGCTGATATATCTTCATCTGTGCCAAATTATATCCCCCTTGCCCAGACTTATGAATTGTATTTTGATGTATCCCATGCATTGGAAGTTCCATATAAGGGAATCCCATCAATGGTTAATTGTAATAATTATTTCCAATACTAAGTACAGCATGTCCCAAAAATCATGTTTCACTCATTGGCTCTTGTGATACACAAACAAGTCATATTATATTACTTTGAAAAGTTATTCTCATCAGTAGTACCAGTTATTTTAAGATCCCATGTTTATGCTCACAGGCAAAAAATACTCTTCATAAGTTTAATGAAAACATTCCAGAAGTTTTCATTCTACAAATCAAAAGCAGAACAGAATGGCTAAGCTACACTGACATCTTGGCTAAGAATTTTTACAAAGATCTCTCCCTGAAAGACCTGTTGTCCTTGAAAATGAAATATGTCCACATACAGACTGCTTTACAGACCCATACCACCACTGTTGAGTGATACACAGAACTATGTTATGGTACCGACTTCCTCCTTAAAAAATTGCCCAAAGACAATATAGAAACACTGATAATTTAACACTTGCCATAATTTACTCAGAGCTGCAAGAATATAGATTATTTAACACATGCTCGTACCACCGATAAAAGTGTGTATTTTCCTATGCTATAACCAGCAGCTTTCATGCCAACAATTTTTCCAAAATGGTTTCCTAACAAACCAGGGTTGATGGGATGTCTGAAATCCATTCCCATCTCTCCAGTCGAGCTCCCAATCCATTGCCCAATTTCAGTTTTATTGCACAGAGGGAACAGAGACTCATGATTGGTTACTGAAACTGGAAGCCAGGCAGGGAGGAAACGTATTGGTTTGTGCGCACCAAGAGCGAGGGCAGATCCCTGCCACGGGTCACGGCACTGGGCAGCAGGTAGGCAAACCATCCAAATCCCGCTGGCCCAAGCCCAATTTGTGGCCACATGCCCGGCTGCTGTTGGGTGGACCATCGAAGGGGACAAGCGGTGGGTAAC